CTCACTATTAACTATTTGCTTGTTAGCACGCCTATTATTAACATATTGGCTGTTTATTAGTATTTATAAAGCACATATTCTGCATGACCATATTCTACATCCCTAATCCCAATGTCTGAATTTAACAACTACCTTACTATTAATAAGCAGCAAATTAGGAGATTATTGTGGCAATGGTTTGTTAATAGCGATAATTGGATCTTAAAATAAAGTGTGACCAAAAAGTTATACAAATTGATAATTTAAGAGCATGAATACAGAGATTACATGTACAAGATTCTTTTCGCATGCATTTGAAATTAGATTTCTAAAAAAATGGTAATTTTTTATCATTTTGCACATTCTTGTTTTCCATTTAAATATATATCACTAATAACAAATAACATATCTGTGCATTTCCTAGTTTTAGTTTAGAAATACCCATGCATTTCCAGTTAAGTTTGTTGTAACATAAGACTGTTTGTTATCAATAGAATCAAATTTCCAAGTCACTGAGTGTTCATCAAAGACATTTCAGTTTCTTCTTTCACAGGAACCTGTTGTTGAAGGGTTGCATTTTTGGTGTATTGTGTTACTACTGGCTCAAGAACATTTCTGGCTGGAAGAATGGACAAAATACACGGCAGGTGACCAAAAACATGAAACCTGACCTTTTTTATTAAACAATGCATAGACAGAATGTTATTACATTGACACAATAATAACAAAACAATATTAAGCACCCAGTCCTTACAGGTTGTTGATTTGTTGTATGAGAATATTAGAACTTAATTACAAATAATTAAAAAATACTCCTCTAAAAATAAATATCGTCTATATGAGTTTATGAGTTGAATATGAAATGAGGCAGGCTTGTCTTCATTTGTGCTTACTTGCAGTGCTGGGAGACATTGGTTGGTCAAGAGCTTTACCGTTTGGTTTTAATGGATCTGCTATTTGCGATGTCGTACATCGTCTTGGCAGAATTTCTGTGGGGGTAAGTTCTCACGTTTCCATATGATAGCAGTGATGTTTAGGAGGGATGTGTTGACTCTTTCTGCCCCTTCAGGCTGTGTATTAGAAACATCACATTAAGAAGAAGGAAACTAGAGTTTGACATTGCACGAGATGTTCTGGAGCTCATCTACGGTCAAACACTTGTGTGGTACTGTCATCTCCTCCACATGAAGACACATTACATTGTGCTCTGACAGCTTGTCACTAACAGTATTTTACGGTTTCTCTTCGTAGGTTTGGTGTGCTGTTTTCACCGCTGTTGCCTGCAGTTCAAATTGGGAAACTGTTTCTACTGTTCTACTTCAAAAAGGTCAAGATCTTCATAGTCCTTTTAGGCTTCATTGGGTTGAAGGTGCATGGAGGATAGAAGATCGAGTTTAATGCTTTAAATGTAAAAGTGTAGTTCCCCGAAAAATGAAAGTCTGTCATCATTTACTTACCATCATGCTGTTCTTAGAGCACAAAAAGGAGAAGATATTTGCTGAGTGTATGTGCTTAGGATAGTGAATGGGAATTCTGGAATACTGCCAAGCACCAAAAAGACTAAAAGTGGATTATGTATTTCAGGTTTTGTGAAGAGATACAAGAGCTTTGTGAGAAGCAAGTGAAAAATGAAGTTATTTACTCGCATCACATTTTTCAAACTTGTCATGTCATAATCGTTCACATGACATTCAAGAATCAATGGCATCAATGACATCAAACCTGGTGCAACACATTTAAAGGTAGTTTACTACTATTTTTTAATTAGACACAAGAATGATTGAGCTTTGAGAACACCAGTGGATGGGGACATTATAAGTGAATGACAACCTTCATTTTAATCTGTTCCTCACACAAAGCTATTGTATGGCTCCGAAGACTTGTAATATAGCAAGTTATATGAGCTTCCTTTATAGTGTTTTTTTTAAACTTAAAAAAAAAAAAAAGATGCAAAAAAACCTTTACCTTAAGAGGTACCGCATTGACTATTTTGTACCGTATCTACCCTTAAATGGTTCATAGTAGTACCATAAGGGTACATATTACTATATTACAACTTTAGTGTACTAATATGCATCTTTTGGGGTGGATAAGGTACAAGATTGTCCATCCAAGGGTGATCTGGGAGAGTATACCTTTCCTTAACCTTTCATCATCCAGTTTGGAAGTATGAAACAGAACATAATACAGGGTAAAAAAGAAAACAATACAGGGTTGTAATGACATGATGTCAGAAGTTTCACAAATGAGAAATGTTCTTTTTGCTGCAATGTACTGTAGACAAAGACATTGTGTCTTTAACTGTATAATAATTCATTTCAGATGTTAATTTATATTATCCAGGGACAATTACCTACATATGTTTGTCACCCCCTTTACAGACGAGTTTGATGATGAACTTTCAACCACCCAGGAAACACTGGAGGGCCACTCAGATGAGCACATTCTTCATTAAACTCCTGTTTTTCCCCTCCTTCACTGGGGCCCTTGCATGTGTAATTTATACAATGTGGAGGTTTGTCTCTTCATATACATTCACATTCTCCAGAATACTGCCGACGGAGGACCAAATCTGGCAAAATCAGAAATAAATAATGTATTAACACACACCCCAGAGCTTCCTCTCTACAAGGTGGTCTATAATACTAGTAAAAAAAGTCCATTTGATGGGACAGTTAAAGAGATAGATGTCTCAAAAATAATTCTCATATTGTTCCAAATTTTTTTTTTTTTGGAGTGGAACACAAAACATGTTTCAGCAGGTGGTCCTCCATAGGAAATTTCACATGCACACACACTCATTGTTTGTCTTGACAAAGCAAATTATGTAAATTATGTAAAGTCATTAAAGTGCAAGTGTGTTTTTTTAGGGTCGAGCCCTCATCAGATTGTGGGCCCTTCAGTAACCTCCGCAGCATGCTTCTCTTAGTCAAGAAGTGGATCAGGGACCTGGGCAAGTCGAATCCCAGTATGTTGTGGCTCAGCTGGGCTTATAATAACTTGGTGGACAACCCTTTGTTCCTCTTCATCACTGCAGGCCTGTTCCTGTGAGTACTCCTCGCTCATTGGAATGCTGGGTGCAGTATGGATATGGGTCATTTTAACAGTCATCTCTGTCTTTTTCCAGCACCATTATATACATTCACATGCAAGTTTTGGATGGCCAAAAGATGATCATTGCTAGGTTACAAGAACAAATAGACAATGTGAGTATTGTGAGCCTTGTGGAAAAGTACGCTACCATATTTACAATGAGTACATATTACCAGGGGTGTCATGCACTCATTATAATGGAGAGGTTCGATAACACCGCTTCCCATCTGAAGTCTGAGCACATTAAACCCGAATGATGCATGAGGTGCATGACATGAAGCTGCATTTATCTGCGTTGTGCTCGTGCATTACGACTCATACGGTCAGTGATAACAGTGACAGAGTGAATATAAGCAGTAAATAGAATTTCTGCCTAACCATCTGTCTCTTGTACATAGTAACTAAATACTAACCCTAGACATTTGCATTCATCTGCTTGTAGTCTCATGAAAAACATGTCCTCAAAATCTAAAAGAAAATCAAAACTCTAAAAGAAAAACAAAAATGGAATGAATGAATGAGTAATATAATGTTTAATGTTTGCAAAATTGTTTAAATTTTGAATTGTTATTATTTTTTTGTATTATTTATTTATTTATTTATTTTTTATTTAATAATGTATTCTATTAACTATGCATAAAACCATAGGCGGAGGGTGAACCAACTCCAGGGTAAGGCTAAAAGCAGCCAAATGTATTAAACATCATAAACCCGTCTTTTTAGGCAAGAACCAGACATTGGTGTCATGTAGGCTAAAAAAATGTTTAATGGGACTGAATGTGTATTTAACGTGATTACAACTGAATAAAAACGTTAGAAATTGATAATTATATAACGTTTCCGTTCCACGGTTATTCAAACAGCGAATAAATTATATATAGAAAGTGACATTATCACTAACTTTGATCTATCGTCTTATGTTCAATGTTTGTGGAAATAAATATTGAAAAAAATCGATTCGTGGCCTTCGAGAATCGATATTGAATCGACCACATTTAAAAAAAACGATATATCGAAAAATCGATTTTTTTGCCCAGCCCTAATCGCGAGTTTAAGCACTCTCAAAAAAATACAACTATCGTTATAATCACTGAAGCTGTATACACTGTGAAATGAATCTCTTACTTGCATCGTACATACATCTGCACTTTGTTGTTTATGATGAGAGAATTCGCAAGAGTCCGGGATTCAGTCAGCGAACGCGTGCGCACTCAACAAAACTGATGAGTTTGTACGATGACTCATCTGAACGCTTCTGATTGGCCATTGCATTCCTAAGCTCAACAGATATGCTTGTGATTGGTTAAAATGCGCAACACTGTAAAAACGCCTACAATGAAATATGGTGCAACATGAGCAGATCTTAATTTAATGCCACAATCGACACTATCTATTCATATTCACTTTGTTAGCAACAGACATAATAGATTTAATTTGTTTGTGCAGGGGCATTTTTGTCCAATTTAGTCACATTTTTGCCCCAAGTCCCTGTGGCCAGGGGAAGGCTAAGGCTAAGGCAGCAGCACACTGTGAGGAGTGATGTAGGGCCATTTTAATACAGCACTGCTCATGATTTCAGCATACAGCAAGACTCATGGGATATGCAAGACTCTGCTCTGACCAGCAACCCACAATGCAGTTCCACTAAAGAGGTGGAACAACAGGTGGAGTGGAGAAAACCCTACAGTTTCACGGGCACTGAAGAAGCACTTTGTCATCATCAATCATTCATGCTGATCTCAGAACTGCATCATTTACTGCAAAGGAAATGGAAAAGCATCTACTTGCTCATTTACAACCCACGGTGCACTTAACAGGAAAATATCTGCAAATGACTAGTGTGATAAACACAATAAGACTAATGGAGAAAAAAGATATAAGATGCACTCTTGCATGGGGTTCAACACAGGCTGCACTGTAAAAAAGGATTTGAGACTTTAGCTTCCCCAACTCATTTTCCTAAGTCAGTTCAACTAAAATGTTGGGTACACTTAAGATATTAAGTTTACCAGTGCCCAACTAATCCGTTTAATCAGAGTAGTTCACGCAACAAAGATTTCTTAGTTGTATGAGTGGCAATGCAAGGAAACCCCGCCCACCGAGCCTTCCTCGCAGAACAGGTCGCCATGCTTGAAGACTGACGAAAAGCTTCAATTTTTGAGTCAAGAGTTCCAGAGGTAAGAGCAAACTTATGTCCAGCTTGTATTTATGAAAAATGTTTGATACATTAGGGTAAAGAGTAATATTACACAGGTTGTCAGTGTAATCCTCACGGCAGTGTTGTACGGAGTGTAAAACATGGACAAAAATATATTTATAGTGATCACGTATTTTAAGGTGTAACGTTAAACTAGATAAATACAGGGTTGTCAGTGTAATACTCTTGCCACTGTTTTTATAGAACCCTGCACGTGATATGTGGACAAAAATATATTTCTAGTGGCCATGAATTAGTTCCCTCGTGATAGTGAAATCGTGTCCATGATTAATAATTCTTTCGCTGGACTGTTTTATTCAATTGTGGCCATGATGTAATTTGTTAACGTTACCTCATTTCTAAATAAATCGAGTGAACAGTTTAACCCATCTTAAACGTTAAACCTTTATTTGTGTCCATTTGATTGTGATATATTTTAGGCCTTACATTTTCAACGGACATTTATCAGTAGCCCCTGCAAGGAAACCCCATCGCGTCAGAACAGGTGCCGCGCCACGGCTGACGAAGCCTCCATTTTGAATTAAGACTTCTTGATTGAGGTAAGAGCAAACTTATGTCCAGCTTGTATTGATGAAAATGTTTGTTAAATTAGGGTAAACTAGAGAAATATTAAACGGGTTGTCAGTGCATCCTCGCGGCAGTGTTGTATGGAGTGTAAAACATGATATGTGGACAAAAATATATTTATAGTGATCACGTATTCGTTTCTCATTTCATGACTTCATTATTTCGTTATAATTAGTTAACGTTAAGAGGATTGTTCATTTGACTTAATTCGTTCCCTGTTTTATTTAACTGTGGCCACGTTGTATTTCGTTAATTCTTTAATTAAAATGAGTTGCGGTGACATTGTAGTTTACCTCATTTTAATTAAAACGAATTAACAATTTAGTACAACATGGCAACAATTTACTGAAACAATTTTATTAAACGTTAGAAGATGAATTAATATGAGTCAATGATATTTTCACTGCAATAATGTGCACATTATTGCCACGTGTATTTAACAGAACTAAACTTTCGAGTTTTATATGTTCATTTGATTGTGATATATTTTAGGTCATAGGCCTAAATTTACAACGGACATTTAACAGAAGCCCCTGCAAGGAAACCCCACTGCCTCAGAACAGGTGCCAGGGCTGACGAAGCCTCCATTTTGAATTAAGACTTCTTAATACAGTAATTGAGGTAAGAGCAAACTTATGTCCAGCGTGTATTCATGAAAATGTTTGTTAAATGAGTAAAAGTACCAATTAAGGTCACCAAAATCTGCCTTGTGCACATTTATCATACCTACTTTCTCTTACGATGTAGAACTAAAGCTCAAAAAAGGCAATGAGACGTATAAAAGAGATGGTTCTCTACTGACTGTTAATTCTGCTATGAAGAGGGACATACTCAACAAGGTAGCAAGTGCTATGTATGAGTACAATGCATATCCAACAACCAAGCAAATTGAGGATGTTGCTCAAGTCCTCATCGAAAAGCATCCCTGTTTGAGAGAGCCAGGATCTACCCATGGGTGGTACTGCTGGAAGTTCAGCCTCGCTTTTAAAATGGGTAACCTCCGTCAGAAATATCGTATTGCAGGATGCCCAGAGCTTACAATCAATCATAAGAGGTCTACAGGCACATCATTGGGTAAAAAAATGAAGAAAGCATTAGTGGCATTTTTGCCCCAAGTCCCCGTGGCCAGGGGAAGGCTAAGCTAAGGCTAAGACTAAAGTAACAGATATGGGTGTCATGCCATAACATATAAATAAAAACATGGTAAGTTAGGCTACTTATCATAACACTTTCATTGTACAGAAAGAGAGCAAAGAACATTTACATTATCAAAGAACAT